ATAAAATACCTAAGTTTTTAAATAATCCGATTTTTGGATCATAAAAAGTTAAGACGAAGATATTACTTATTTTGTCTTAAATAAAAATTATTCATCAAAGAATATTTTTTCTTGAGCTTATTTATAATTCGGAAGGTTTTTTGAAGACAAAAAATCCGATTATTATTTCTTTTTTTCAAAACACAATTGTGATAATTAAAATATATGTAAATTCAGTAAAAACTCCCAAGAGCGGTACCTCTAAAGAGTGGGTTCTCTCAAGAGGGGGCATTTTTTAGACTGAAACTATAAATAGAGTTCTCTATCGAGCGGTTTTTAAGGTTTGATTGGCTAAAAATGCCCACTCTTGAGAGAACAAAATTACCACACATGCCTGCTCTTGGGAGGTTTTACTGTATACAACAAAATCACGAATAAGTTAACTTGTTAAATTTTGAAGTTAAAAAAACATAGTAATTTAAACGTTTATTTTTAAAAATTATTAAATGTAATTGTAATAAAACCGTATCTTTTATTATTTAATCGAATATTAAAATTAATTATTTTAAAATTAAAAGCGATGTGATTTATGAAAAAAACAATGGTGCACAGATAAAAATCAGTTCAATATGGAGAAAAGGGGGGTGTAAACAAAAAATACATTTCTTTTTATCTGAAGAAATTCGCAAGCGTGATGGCTTTGGGGGTAAATGGTAACAATTATAATTGTTGGTTAATAAAATGTCCTCCTAACATGAACTCAAATAAATATCAAAATGCTTACTGACAATCTTCTGATGGTTCAAGTAAAAAAGGCATAATTATCAATTTGTTCAAGACTATGCTCCTTGTTGTAATGCCAAATCAACTCGTAAGTTCTTCGAAGAAAATATTTTTTATTTCTTCACGACTGGCCAGTCAGCAGTCCAGATTTAAATCCCAATGAAAACATGTAATGATTATGAAGAAGTATTTGATATTAATCCAATTGATAAAACAAGAATAAGTATAATATGAAGCACAAAAGGAGTAAAACTCGATACCAATCCGTTTTGTAAATTACCTCATGATTCTTTCGAATCGTGTTTTTTGGAATGTTAGAAAATAAATAATTGTTGATACATTCAAATAGATTTTATTAACAATAATTGTACTTTAGTTTTTGTGTACAACAATTAAAAAACACATTTCATAGTTTTTTTTATAAAACAATTCTTTTAATGTTTTTAAAAATTGAAAATAAGATAAGAAATTCGGGCGCTTTTTTATTCCGAATTTTTGAATCCGACTATACATGTATATAATCTTCTTTATATTTTAAGGTTTTTTTCAATTTCAACTACAAATAATAATTCTGATACTTTTTTGAACATAAAAAGCATTTTGTTTTTGTTTTCAAATCATCTATATTATAGAATCTCGATGATTCTTCAGAAATAGAATTAAAGAAATCATCTTTATTATCTTTTACCTTTAAGTTGAAAGATAACCGTTTACTCTTCACAAATTTATAAATATAAATTAAATTAGTTTTTGATGGAATAGAATTAATCAATTCTTCAAAGAACTGTCTTGTTAATCTAATTTTATTTTTTTTTCATAATCACAATCTAAATTAGCAAGAATAATATGATTGTTAATATCATATAAAACAACATTATTTCTAGATTCTATAAAGTTTAAATTGTGTTTAACAGGTATACAACCTTCATATATTCTTTCTCTGTATTCTTATTCACCATATTGACTTTCATATATTGATTTTGAATAGACCATTCAAGATTCTTTTTATCTAATTCTTCTTGTTCTTTATGTTTAATATTTAAAACTTTAATTAATTTAGTTTTGTGATTAATAGACTGGACAACCGCACCAAAATTAACCCCCAAATTTAATTTTTAAACCATTTGAGCATATTTTGACTTGTTACTTTTCTTTTTACTTAAACTAGTAAACAATAATAAATTTAGTCATATAGATTATACGTGCAAACGAAATAAAAAAAATGCTTTAATTTATATATTTCAGCTCAAAAGTTCGTTATTTTAATAAGTAATAAAATAATTAAATAGAATGAGGTAATAAAATTATATGAGCAAAATATAACAAATATTCATTTTGGTAATAAAATAATAAATTTTATTGTAAAATCCGTACAACTTGTTGTTTTTGGCATTTTTTCGTTATGTGTAAAATTGACAATAGAGTTTTTTTCTCAAAAGCAAATTATTAACATCATGATATTCAGTAACAACAACAGGAGATAAACAATAAATGGGATAATACATTTAAACAAACTTGTAAATTGGTTTAAAGACTGTTAAACATTGTTTCATATATCGTACAAAAAATAAAATACATGTAATTTCAAAGAATGAAGTTCTTAACATAATAAACAATTGTAATATTAGATGAATTGTAAATCATGATTAAAACAATTTGTGTGAATTTTAAATCATGATAATTTAACCCAAATTATAAAAAGTATAAAATTTGCAAGTTATTATTCATTAGTTATAATCACATTGCATATGTTTTAATTAAAACTTTATTTTGAAAATGAACAACGATTTAAACATATAAGTGGTTAACATTTACGAAAAATAAACATAAAGTTATATTTTAAATTGATAAGCCTTTATTTTGGTTTTTCAATAAAGGTTACAAATCATATTCATTATACATTTTTACTGTTATAACATTGTAATTAATTGACTGCACAATGATTACTATTTAATAATGTTGTAAAACCAATTGTTATAGTCAATTTAGATAATATTAATAAAAATGATTATTGAAAATAATTTATAAATCACATCATTTATTTAAAAGACGATTACTTTTAAAGAAGATATTCTTGGTAAATTTATATTGTTTTTGGTTCATACAGATTTATATTTTTTTGAATATCAAAAAATATTATTTAAAAAAAATAATATTTAATAATCATGTGTTCCCAAAAACGTTTATTTTTTAAAATTTGAAATAAATAAAATGTTATTTAACTTTTGTTTATCGCTTCCAAATAATAATTAGTTTTTAATAATTTATTTGTAAAAGCAAAAGTCGGTTATATGTGTGGTCAACTTTGGTTTCGGCAAAAAGGAACGTTGCTTTAAAAATTCGGCATAATAGAAAATAATGGTCATCGGTTGGCCAGTCTAGTGATTAATATAACTAAAATTGATTTGATCTTATTTATTAGCCCTTCCGGTACCAAAAATTTACAAAAATGTAAACTTATTTATTTCTTATTCATTTTGAGTGTATATTAGAAAGAAATCATGCAAAAAACGCTTTAAACTTTTTACAACCATGGGAAATACCAGGAAACAAAATTAATAGTAAAAAATAATTAAATTTACTACAAATTAATAGTAACTTTTGACCTAAAAACGTATTTTTGTTGAAAAAAGGTTCACTTTTTCTGTGAGGAAAACTTGACGACTTTTCTTGTTATTATTTTCAAGTTTAATATTTTTTTCTTTTTATATCAAAAATTTGTGTATAGTATAATAAACTATACATTATAAGTCTTTCTAAAAACAGGGTTTTAAAATAAGAAAACGTATCAAATAAAATTCTGATAAAAATTTATTTATTGAAAAACAAAGGATACGTCATACTTTGAAAATTCCAAAAGTAATTATTTTAATTTAGTTTATATTGTAAATGTTTTGATGTTTTGTAACTAACGTGAAAAAAGTTAATTTTTTATTGAATTTTAATATATGTAACAATCAAATATTATGATATTAGTTGTGTAATCACACTGATGATTAGCGTTCTCACTTTATGAACTTTTGTTGATAATCATATGTATACGAGACATATTTACGAAATTTTTCTTCTTAACTATCGTTTTAAAAAAATCGTTTTCATTACACAAAATAAATTAAATGTATATGAATAACATTACCACCTTTTTCACAATTTAAAGAAAGATCCTATATTTACATTACTCTAAATTATTATAAAATATATTTTATAACTAATATGTATGACACAACTGTGTTAGACTTTTAATTTATATAACATACAAAAAATAAAACGTGCAAACTTTTTATATATTATAAATGATACATCAAACGTGAACTAAAAACTACAATATTAAAACTAAATACTGTTTAATTTAGAATAACTTTTAGTTTACAAATTTAAGTTTACATTGATCTGTATGCGTGTTATAACAAGTATATTTCTGGTATTGGAAGGGTTAGAATATCAATAAACTTCTATTTAATTATAAGATTTAAAAACCTAATAAAAACTGCTTATAATCATGTATAATCTCATATTTTTGTAAAGATTGCTCGTTCTCCCATATTTCTAAATCGATAATAAGTATTTCTATCAAGAATTCCTAATCGTTCTAATTTGTTTCTGCATTCACGATTGACTACATAAATAGTTCTTGATCTTTATGATCCTTGTTTATTAGTAAAACAATTTTTAAATTATTTGTTTTGAATTATTATTTTTAAGCATATAAAAGTCGATTACAAATTGCTCTGTCATTTAGGTATCAAAAAATATAGTTATAACTTTTCGATTATTATAAAAATCTTGTTACAAAGTAATAACTACAAAAATACAGATCAAATTGATCATCATTTTTAAACTAACTAAACGAAATTATGAAGAATATTTGTAGAAAAAACGAATGCAAAAATTCAACACGATTTATTTTCAACTTGGGAATCAAATGTTCATCAAAAACACTAATCTAAAATTGAAAACCTGATTTGTAGTATTGTTAATAACCAAATATTCACAAGGAATCATTTGTCCATTGATAAAAAGATATCAATATTATTGTTTTGAATTTGTGATTGATCGAGTGACAATATATTCAAGTCAACAGAATATATAAATCTTTCAGTTTTGCTAACAACTTATTGTTTAGTGTTAAAGATAAGTTGTATTTATACTGAATAAAAATATCATATATATAATTATATAGCTCTTGTATACTAAAACGTTAAATGTTTTATAAAACAAAAAAGTTAAAAAATCTTGAATCACATCTTAAGGAAGATGACAGAAAATGATTTCATATGGCAAGTTCCAGAGTAACTATTTCCTGTGATCAAGTCGACACCAGACCCACACTGAGTGTCATACTCGTAATTGTTCGTATTAATAAGTATCTGGACTTTGTTATCTCCGTCAACCTTGTCTACCTTGAAAAGAGAACCACTCGCGTTTTGGTTTTGTCGGCTTCCTTTGAACAATGCAGAATTCTCTGCTCGGATTTTCATCAACTTTGCAACGTAGTCGTGCAAGTCTTGTTGTTGTGAGTTGAAGCCTGAGATGTGTCCATCACTTCTCGCAGCATTGTCATTATAAGCACCACAATCCCCAGGGTTATAGTAACAGTCGACGATGTCTCCAACTTCATCACCATAGTACACAGTGATTGGTCCAGTGTATGCAGCGAGGAAAGCAAGTGCAGCTTTGTGTCTGCCCCAATAGTCACTGTTGTCCTGAGAGTATCCGTACTTCTTTCTGATCAAATTTCCAAATCTGAGTAAGTCATGATTTGTAACAAACAAATTGGGATAAGCATAGTCGGGGTATCCACAATCGAAAATACCTTTCAAGTTGGAAGCATCGTATCCTCCAGCTCCAGATTCCTCACAAGCCAACGTTTGTACCAAGTTGTATCTCCCCGGGAAATGGAAGCAACTTCTAAGACCGTATCCTCCTGAAGCATAATACCCCCAGTTGTTGATATTAGAAACCGAATCCCAGATTTCTCCAACCATATACCCTAACGTTCCCCAAGTCTTTCCTTGTGACTTTCTGGCATCACAAGCAGCTTCAAAAGCCTCTCTTATGTCATACCAATAATTTCTGTCTTGGTTTCTAGTCGAGACTTGGTAAGCTTGGTCGAGTCTCCACCCATCAATTTTGTAGTTGTTGATCCAATATGTGGCAACCTCTTTATAAAAGTCAAGTGAACCCGGATAGCTGACTGGGTCACTTCCACCGGATGGGTATTTACCACTTGGAGAAGCTGCTACATCCCCTGATTTGTGGTGCCCATAAACACCATCAAGGATGACATAGATACCAAGCTCATGAGCTTTGTTGACCAATTCGTGTAATTCATCATTGGTTCCAAACTTTGGGTCAACGTTGCATAAGCGAAGTAACCGGTTGAGTCTAATTGACTTCCTCCGTTGGAATTGAAAATGGGGGTCATCCACAGAGCATTCATGTTGAGGTCTTTGATGTATTGCAATGCATTAATTATACCTCTCAGATCACCTTTATGAGTGGATGGACCATATCCTGTCCGTACCCATTGTTGGGGTCACCGTCTTGGAAAGAAGACACCATAACTTGGTATACCCTCAAGTTGTTAAATACAGCAGTGTCAATAGCTTGTCCCAATATGAAAAGTGTGAAGAGCGCAAACATATAAAAAAAGAGTCTAAAATGAGTTTTTATTGTTGTATGAAAAAGAATGATGTTGATGATAATTTTTATAACTCTCAGGTGATTATTCCAAATAAATTGAGTCGAAAATCAAATAAATTAATAGGAAATTAATAAACTTTATTGAAGAAAAATAATAAGATTTTTTATTTCGATATATTTTTTTGACTCAACATTTTAAAACTTCGAGTTATTTTTTATAAATTGTTTTCTAAATTTATTATTTAATTATTTATTGTTTTTTGTACTTAATTGTTAATCGGTTAATAAGGACGAGACGCAAAAAAAAACGCGTTCAAAATAAAAAAAATGAAAAAACTTATTATTTTTTACCAAAATCAAATTTAAATTTATATATTTAAAAATTTCGGTATTATCATTTAAATGTTGGCTATTTTTAATTCATTTTTTCAATTTTTATAATTTGTACAAATCAAAATCAACAAAAATATTATTTAAATTGTTTATTTTTCGGCTCTTTGTTCACCTAGTTTATTTGCTTTTTGCAAATTTGCTCCTATGCACAATTCACAGACAACCTCGTGATGATATTTGTAGACATGAGTATTACACACACAACAATTGTTTTTATAATTACAAATAGTAAGATGATCTCCTCCGAGTTTATCACAGATACAACAACGGCCTTTTTTCTTTTTTGATCAATAGTGTCAGGTAAAGAAGATGTGTTAATCGTATCTACTCCTAGAAAAAAACATCAATTATTCTTTTTTCATATGATGATACAGATTGATAAAGTCTTAAATTGGCATTTTTTTCACCCAACTGAAACGCGATTTTTTGATAATATTTCAGTTTGAATTGTTTCGCGACTATAGCACTAAGTTTATTTTGGAATTGTTCTTCAAAAGTTGGTTGTTGTTTTGTGGTGTCTTCGTTGGTGGTCTCAATTTGAGATACGTCCACTGATTGTATGAATGTTGTTCCTTCTGAAGTCTCTGTAGGTTTCCTCTCCACTTTAGACCATATATACATGATATAAGAATTGTGGATTGCCATATCCAAAAGGTGGTAAAAAACGAGAGAGGCCATCTTCTTGACACACGCTTTGTGGAGTACCTTGTCATAAGACAATCAGCAACATCGACATTTCCCATAAACTTATTGTAAACGAGATTGACATTAAATCTTTTTTCTTTGGTGTGCATTTTCAAATCAACAATTCTTGATGTCAGAATTGCAACACATCGATTTCTATCTTTAAAATGACTAATTGAATTGGATTAACCCTTTGACCACCAAAAGTCTGAATTGCAATTGCGTTTTCTCTTGATTTGTTTATTAGTAAAAGGTTCAGCACCAAAAATTTGCGATTGGAATTAACTGTTCCAATTAATGTCACCCCGTAAGAACTTAGAATGTCTGCGGCTTGTACGGAAGTAAAAACGATTGGTTGTCAATTTTATGTTAAAAGTTGGTGTACCCAACTGTCTGTGATTCAATTCTTTTATTAATTGTACAATAACTTTGGCTCCTAATTTATCAACAGGAATTTTATTATTTGCTCCTCTAAATACTTGAAGAATCATTATAAATCCTGAAATAGAATCAACAAGCAAAAAACTTAATTTCATATTTAGCTATTTTTCCTTTCATGTAAGTTTCATTCTTTCATCTACCATATTAGCGATATAATTTTTCATCTATTCTTATTTCTGTTGAGTTTAGATAATAATGGTTTTGTATATCAATCAAATTGGAACGGAACCGTTCCAATTTGAACATTTTGTATTTTGAAATGAATTGATTTGGGTGCTTCCTATTGGAATATAATTGCAATTTCCTCCAAATTGCATTCTAGTAGCAAGAAAAATTGTATTCAATTTTGTCAAACTTGTTTTTGGAAACGAAGTAGTAAAATTGTTGTTAATATCAATCGGGTCGTCATTTAGATTATTAGGTTGAATTTCTTCGTCTAGTGTTCTGACTATGACATCTTCATTATCTTCGTCATCAACTACGAGTGATTCATTGTTTTCGTTATCACCTTTTCGTAAAACTGCGCGTTCAAATGCATTTGAATCAAATCGTAGTGCCCATTTAATTTGCAAATAACGACTAATACTAATTGGTCCAACATACATCGGATTTGCTGTTACCCCACTCCACAAACATGAAAGGGGCAGTTTAGTATCAAGATAATTTGCCTGAGAAATAGAAACTGACAAAAAAGCATCAAATTCACTTTTGGTAATTTCTTTGAAGTGTTTACTTCCACTTTTGTTTTTTATTGCCTTTTCTCCAAATTTATTTGAAGAATTAATAATAAAATTTTTTATTTCTTCTGTAAAAAA